ATATCAATATTATAAAAGAAAATATAACAAACATATTAAAAAAACATGAATTGCTTCCATTAACATAGCTTCTTCATTAATTAATTAAATCCTTTAACTGTTCAGAGTTTGAGATTTGTTCAGAAGTTGCTCTAAAGTTTGAAATTTAATTTGAGTTGTTTCAAGGGTAGATTTGAAGCAGGATGTGTGGCTCTCAAAACTACTGTGCAATCATGAATATCTCATTTGTTGGAATGCAGCTGGGTTTGAGAAAAGTTTAAGTTAACAACACTCCTTTTAATTTGCTATTTATTTCACTCCAAGAAAGATGCTTGGGAATAGTTTTGAATAATTAAAATATGAGTATTTGTTTATTGGAAAAAAGTGAGAAATATTTCATAAATATTTAAGCTTGAATATAAAAAAATAATTGATGATTGCTATACTAATTTGCCGGAGAATCTTCCTATTACATTAATCTAAAGACTTTCACTTCACTTATGTATACTGTTTATACTATTATGTTGATTGTGAATCAACTAAAATCAATATTCAATTTATTGGATTTAAGTTTGTTTGTGGATGACACCTTATGTTATTAGAAGGTTGTTGATGAATTACCAAGGAAATGTGGTAAGTTAAAGTGTGACTCCCTTCACGTAGCACTTTGTCCCATCAAGGGTTCAAGAGGTGGCTCCCATACATGGCGTAGCACTTTATCTTGTATGGCATGCACTTAATTCCCATATTCTTAGTGATATATTGCTTTGATATTATCTGTAATAGCCCTAACTCTTAATTATCGAGATATTTTCCTCTTTGACCTAAGGGTCTCACGGTTTTGTCCTATTGATGTAACTTCCCAATAGGTTACCAATCCCATGATTTTTTCATGATGAGCATGCTAAACTACAAAGTTACACCAAGAGGGTGGGCCTGGTTCACATGCTCGTGGAGTTCGTGAGCGGGCCTGGTTCACAAGCTCACGGAGTGCAAGCAGGTTCACAGGCCCGTGGAGTTCGCAAGCGGGTTCACGGGCCTGCTCGGGCTTGTGGGATCCAAAAATTTGGCCCTGGCCTCCGCCCGCACTGTTGCTTTTCTTTTCTTTCGGGGAAGAGTTTTAACAAATAGGTTATGGGGAAAATTTTGAGAAGACAGATGGGTTTGTAGATAAGACACTACCCAGAGATTTCGCCCTCATTTTGCTAGGACTTTATGATCCGAGTTCTGATTTCCTATAGGCACAAGCCCCTATAGTTAATTGCCCCTCTCAATAATGAGAGAGAACTTTCGATTAAGGCTAGCCATCAATCAAATACATAGAGAGATACGTAGTATCTGACATACAGTAGCAGCATGTGTATATATATTTAGAGGTTTGAAGGATTAGAAGATTTGATATTTAAAATTGAAAATTTCATTATCTTGCACTTAAAGCGAATGGTGGGGGAATGTATGATGGACCCGATCAAGATCTTATGGTTCCGTTGTCACGGGCCATCATGGTCTCTGGTCTACTTAGTCAGAGAAGATAGTCGACCCAACCTGATAGAAAGATCCTTATCAACAGCCATGGGTTGCTTCCTCCAAGGGTACCTTGTAGACCTGAGATGGATATTTATTAAAGAGGACAAATTTAAATCCACCTTAGCTAACTGAGGGCTTAGTGCCCTATCGATTATATCCTATTGATTCATATATTAAGGATTTGATGTCATTAAAGAGCGTATTGGCTTTGGTCATAATCAGTATTTTATGGTGCCATTTGGCGGCAAAATCACTCGGCTTAAAGAACCCCGGGTCATAATCGTTTATCATGCAGTGCCATTTGGCGGCAAAATTGTCGATTAGAGGATACATATCACGTCCTTACTGGCAGGAGATTGGTTGAGAATAGATCCTAGTGATATTTTTGACCAGACATTAGCTCTATATGTTGAAGTAAATTTTGAGTTTGTCCACATTTGCAAACTATTGCGGAGGGTGGATGAGTTTTGCTTTAAGTGTCTTGATGGTTAATTTCAAATTTAAATATCTTGGAGTTTCATGGTTTTTGGGATTTTTGAGATTTTTTTGGATTTTTGTAGAGTGACATTTTGAATTATTTGAAATGGACCGCTCTGGTTGAGATATGAATTCAACACGGCTATCATTGGGGTGTTCAGGGTCATTTCTATTTGATTAAATCTTGTTAACCATATCGACTTGCCGATAGGGGATCGAGTTTCGTAAGCTTTATGCATTTGTTAATGAATTATCTTGGCCATATGCTTTGGAGGTTTAATATGAATGTATTAAAATAAATATATCGGTCGCCATAGTCATATATTTGTTTAATGGTTTGAACCATGTCGACCCATATTGATCCGTATAGAAGAATCAGGTTCGAACTTGAATTCACTTATCGACCCGTGCAGCATCCCTAGACATCACATGTGTACTTATAACACACTCACCGGGGCCCAAGTGGGTGTTTGAGGGCATTTTATAGTTGTTTGTTGAACCTTGTCGACTCCTACTACTTAGGAGGATCGGGTTCGAATTCATTGACCCGCGCAACATTCCTAGATGTCACGTGTGTTCCTACAACACGCTCACCGGGGCCCATGTGAGTGTGTTATAAGTACAAAAGTGACGTCTAGGGATGCTGCGCGGGTCAATAAGTGAATTCAACTTTTTTTATTACTACATACTCTTTAAGGCTAAAAGGTTGCTAGGTTCAAACTTGACTAATTAAGATGGAATTTTTCATGATTATTAATTATATGTTTGATGCTTACGTTACATGTATGAGCCAACCTAAAAATATTTTTAAATTTTGATGAGATTCTTTCTTAACTCTTAAGTGGGTGAGTCCTCTGCTAATACTTGAGGAAGCGGGGAATGTTCCTCGAGTGCACACAAGGAAAGGGGCGAGTTCCCAAAGTATTACTTTCATTATTTACTAATTTATGATAGACTCGCAAGGTAGGAAGGAACATAAATTAAAGAAAAGAATTTACTTAATTACTACAACAAATTGTACATCTAAAAATATCATGACTTCCCAGCTTATTGATAGAAAATTCTTAGGTCGCCAGCGCTCCAAGTCCTTGGCACCTCCTTTCTTGAATTTGTTTGCAATTAGTATACTCTAGGAACAACTTGTTTCTTAATTGTGTAAGGTCCTTCCCATGTGTTAAATGACCTAGGTTTCCTAGCATTAGCTGGGAAGCTGATGCATCCACTTTCTTTAGTATCAGGTTGTTAGGGAAAAATACTTTCTTCTTGATGTTGGCACTGTAGTACTTCACCATTCTTCTCTTTAGCTTTTTTTGCTTGAACATGACTTGGGCTTTGAATTCTTTTAGGAGGCCGACTGCACTCTTTTATGCCTTCATGTTTACTCTCTTTGCACTTAGCTAGTTATTTCTCTTCAAAGTTCACTGCTGTGACCACTCACTAACTATGAAGCTTGTATTCGACTAGTAGTAGGGCTTCAACTCTATTTGATAGTGCGAATGGAGTTTTATTAGTTTTCAAAGGTGTGATCCTTAACGGCCATAGGACTGAAGGTAGTGCTTATACCCACTTATATTTTGCTCCTTTCGTCCTTTTCCTCAATATGTTCAATATTTGCTTATTTGTCCCTTTGACTTAGCCTATTGGTCTTAGGGTGATATAAGGAGGCAAACTTGGCGAATACTTTGCTACTGAAAAAATTCTTGATCCTCTTACCACTGAGTTGCTCTCATTTCAAGTGATTATGATAAAAGGTAGCACATACCTGAAAATGATACCCAACCATATAAAATTCCTAATGACTTTAACAATCAACTTGGCGAGTAACTTCGCTTTTATCCTATTGAAAAAAGTAATAAATTATGACTTCTAAAAGAACATATACATGAAAAGGTTGGAGTAGCTCTAGTGGTTGATAAGATTAGAGAGTCGCTTTATATGATTTAGTCACATAAAACATCAGCCTTCCGATGACCCGGTTAGAAATGTAGATGTATTAGATTTAACTTATGTTAAAAATAACGTATGTATCACATACATCATTTATGATTGACTTGATCAACCCTAAAGCTTGGTGGACCGTTATCACATAAATAAACTTTAGGTTTTGTTTAATATTAATGAGTTTATGTTGTGCTTTGTACTTCCATCTTTTATTAGGTTTAGATACTCATTACTTATGTAGTTCTTAATTTCATTTTCTTTTCTATTAGTTGTTTGTTTGACCTCTTTGTTATAGTATTATTATAGATTTTATTGATGTAATATAATATTAAATATTTATGCTTATTTTTTACATATTGTACTTATTAGTATTTATAAATAAAAATTTTCTCTTATGAGCACAAAATAGGTTTAATTGATTTTAAGTTTAGGGTTTATCTCAAATATTGAGATTAATCTTTTATTGACATGATATGTTATCATAATGTATCACCTTTCAAATCCAAAGTGATATTATGAATGATTTTCAATTTAAAATTAATTTTAATTGAATATAAATATTTATTAATTAGAAAATATGAGAAATCCTTTATCAAAATTTTATTCAAGCATGTAAGATATAATTGACTAATGTTAATTTACTAGAGACTCAACCACTAACATTAATTTATTTATTCCCCTAAAAAATATTAATTTATTTAGAGGGATTTACATACATACCACTTTATTTCATACTATTTATATATCTAATACTTAAAATTTTAATATTATATTCTTACCATTCATATAAAATTTTAATATCAAATATATCACTCATATATTTCATTCTTACCATCCAAGTCATACTATAAATTTTAATATTTCATTCCATACACTCATATTTATTCTATGAATAGTAGCTATGTAATATTAAAATTTTTGATGTTAGATATATAAATAACAAGAAATAAAATGATATGTTTATAAAAATTCCCCATTTATTTATTGTAATAAAATGGGTAATTGGTCTATTAAAATTTGTTTAGAGAAATAACTTGCAACTAAAGTAAGCTTTTAATGGCCAAAAGCGTTTCTCACAAAATGCTATTGGTCTAAAAAATCCTACTTTTTTGTCCTCTTCTCTCTTCTTCCAACCCTTCACCCTTTAATTTCCCTCACCCCTGATCTCTCGGGCATCTTTCTTCTCCGGCAATGGCAACCACGGCGAGGGAAGAAAACGTCTATATGGCAAAGCTTGCCGAGCAAGCGGAACGCTATGAAGAGATGGTTGAGTTCATGGAGAAGGTAGTCAACTCTCTTCCGGAAGGCGAGGAGCTCTCAATCGAGGAGCGCAACCTCCTCTCGGTAGCTTACAAGAACGTAGTCGGTGCTCGCCGTGCCTCGTGGCGCATCGTCTCATCGATTGAGCAGAAGGAAGAAGGCCGCGGCGCCGGCGATCGCGCCGCCGCGGCCCGCGACTATCGCTTGAAGATCGAGTCCGAGCTGTCGTCGATTTGCGCTGGAATCCTTCGTTTGTTGGACTCTCGCCTGGTTTCAGCCGTCGTCACCCCTGACTCCAAGGTTTTTTATTATAAAATGAAAGGCGATTACCATCGGTATCTCGCGGAGTTCAAAACTGGTGATGAGAGAAAGGAGGCTGCTGAGAGCACTCTTTCCTCTTATAAGGCCGCCCAGGTAAGATGCTGATCGGTTATGGTTTAGGAAATTGTTATTGATCACAATCTCTTGCATCTGATATATTCTAGGGTTAGGGATTGGAAATGCCTACCTGGAAGAGTAGTATTTTAGCCATTTCAAAGTTGTCTTCTTCTCACGATCTCAGTATTGCAGGAGATTGCGGTGGCAGAGTTGCCCTCGACACATCCGATCCGGCTAGGTCTTGCATTGAATTTCTCTGTATTCTACTACGAGATCTTGAATTCTCCTGAGAGGGCCTGCAATATGGCTAAACAGGTTCGAAGGAGTAATCAATCTTGTTTTCTTTGAAGTTTTCACTATTGTTTCTTTTTCCTCTACTATTTACGATTTGGAGTACCTATTTTTTTCTTACCCTAATTTTGAGGGGTTTCAGCGAGTACTTTTTTTGAGTTCTAAAATGGTAAATCGGAAGTGGCGTTTGTCTTACGGATTAGGGTTTTAGTTATTTTGGTGTCTTGACTGATCGTTTTTCTTATACTCTTGGCATTCTTTCATTTGCCTTGATTAATTTTTTTTTTCTCTTTACCATATTTCCTCTTTCTCCTTGCAATTATTAAAGAAAACTGAAGATATTTTTCCTAGTTTTTACTGATATTAATTGTTTTATTAGCGTAGCTTTTGAGAGAGAATTATTAAAACTCTAATCATGTGCTTGTTTTTAATCAGCTGTTTGTCCTCAATAAGTTAAGATTTAAATTGAAGTTCGCATGTTCTTATTTGTTATATTATTTAAAAGAAACCTTACAGTGAGACAAAATAGGTAGGTAAAGGAGTTGCAAAAGGAACAAATTGATCCCCCAAAAAATGTTGTGCAATAATATAGCAGAAACAACTAGAACAAACGCAATCAAAACACAGCAATTTACGTGGTTCGGCCAAGAATTGCCTACGTCCATGGGGATGGAATGATTTCATTATATTGAAGAAAATAGGGTTATGTTAGACCGGTCCACTTCCGGCCCCTTCAAAGAGGCCGTGATGCCGAACTAATTGCAAAACAATAACTTTGTACAAAAAGTATTTAAAGAGCAACTTTGGATTTCTTGTTATTAGCCACTAAAACCACAAAGTAAAACTATTAAGCGGTCACGTCCGTTTAGGCTAAGCTACGCAAGAGACTAAACAAAGTCAAAACATTTAGGAAAATTAAAGCAATGCATACAAAATAGCTTTCAACATAACCTTGATCTAACAAGAGGTCTAAGAGCAAAGAAGTAACAATCCTATGTTACTAATGGATGGTGATAGTGGAACACAGTCTCTTTCTTGAACAATTCTCTCTACGAAGTAAGTAGAATAGGAAAGTACACGAATCAATGAAGAATATCACCTTCGCGGAGAATTGACTTGATACACCGCATACCTTCCGATGATTGATACTCCATAGACGTGATCTTCAACAACTACTATGGGTTGACGGATTTTCTAGGGATCCGTCAATGTTTGGAATCACGCTGACGACGGAAATTTGAGAAGATCCACGAAAAATTAATCGTCTTACGCAAGGCCGGATTCAATCTCCGGATTAGCCATACATCATAGCAAGAGAAAGAGAGAATACAATAGAAACAAGAGGGAGAGAGATGGCGGTGGAGGGAGAGGTCGGTGGCTTGTAAGGGGAAAAGGGAGTAGGGTTTGGGAAAGAACCAGGTTGAGAGAAGGTTGAAATATTCTAATCTCTAAATCTGAAATTATTTTCAGGTTTTGAGTAGAATTGGAGGGAAAACACTTTGAATTTGAATTTCATAACAAAGGCAATTAAGAGCCTTAATGTAGCATTAAAGGGGTGGGGCCCATACAAGGGGCCGGCGGCATGATGAGAGGGAGTGAGCTAGGGGAAAGGGAGTTAAGTGTTTCCTAATCCGTTCCGACGAATTAATGATAAAAATTTCAAATCCGTTCCAATTCAAATTTAAAATTGAAACCTCATTGAAACTTTCCTAATTTGGCGTCGGGCAAATTTGGAAACTTTTTACTCTTCCACTTTGAAATTCAAATTTGAAAATACATGGTGTGGAGGCAAAGATGTGGTGATGCTTAACGGATGGAAAGGGTGGTGGAAGAAAGGGAGGCCGGCGGCTAAAGGGAGGGGCCGGCGGGATGAGGATGAAGGTTTGGATTTGTGGTTGTGATGAAGGTGAGCTTAGGTAGGAGGGGTTATGGGATGGTGGTTAGTGGTGGGGATGGCCGGTGGTGGGAATTGATTAGAAGGGAGGATATATATATATATATATATATATATATAACAATAAGTAGACAATAATAAAATCAAAAGTACATCGGATAAATCGTGGCCGTTGATTTATGGCCACATCGACGGTAGACTTTTTGATGTCCCCATCAGGCCGGTTTTTTGCTAAAGGAGAGGGGCGGTGTCATAGAGAGAGAAAGGAGTGGGATCCACTAGGGATTCAAATTCAAGCTAGTTGGAAGCAAAGGAGGGGGCGGCAAAGGCAAGGGAGTAATTTGACTTTAATAATTAATTGTATGCCTTAAGCATGGGAGGGAGGATTAGGGTTAGGGTTATGCTTTGATTTGTTTCTCTTGAAGTTTCTTTGGCGTCTTGGGCTCTAGACTCATCGTCTAGAGATTGGAAGAGAACAATCCTCCTCTCGAATTGAGGATCAATTGTATATTGCTTTATGTTTGCTTTTGCTTTGAATCCGCTACTACAATCTTTCGTTTTGAACTGATTTCATTGAGAATATCACATTATTTCCGTTGTTTTTATCAATTATTGCTAGGGTTTCTTGCGAACTCAAGTATTTCCTCTTGGATTACTTGCGAACTCAAGTATTTCCTATCAGGTTACAATTGGTTCTCTCTTTTTGCTTACTCTCATACAACAGCGCTCAAGTCCTATTTATAGATTTAAAATAAAACAAATTAAGGAAGACTAGTTAATAGAAATCTAATCATGCCAATTATCTCCTAATCCGTGTAAATTAAATTTCTCAATTTTGGTAGCAATCAGAGCTCCTAATTAACACAATAATCAACCAAAAATCTTTCATAATCTATGTCAAATTATATAAGAGAAGATTTCTACATTAATCTCCACCTTATCTTCAGAAAGTAGAAGATGATAAACCAAGCTCCAATATCAAAACGATTGCACTGGGATGGTTGTCTACATATCATCTCTCCCAAGGGATCAAGCCAAGTATAATTCTTCAAAACAAGTGGACAATCAACCATGAGCCTGAATGTTCACCATACAGTAGGTGGACTTCTAAGCTGATAGTTATGTTTTTAGCATGATTGCTAGATTCTCCTTTGTATCTATCTTCTTTAACTAGATATTGCCTTCAACAATCAAGTCTCAAACAAAATTGTACCTTACATCAATGTGTTTGGTACGAGCATGAAAGATTGAATTTTTTGCGAAGGGTATTACACTCTAACTGTCATAGAACATTGTTAGAGACTTCTAATCAACTCTCAAATCATTCAGTAGGCCTTGCATCCATATTGCTTCCTTCTTCGCCTCTGTGATGCCATGTATTCAGCCTCAATAATAGATAAAGCAATAACAAAATGAAGAATTGATCTCTAACTGACTGAACCTTCTTCCAATATGAATAAGTAACTAGTTGTAGACCTACTCATATCAATATCACCAGCGTAATCCGAGTCAGTGTAGCTTACACACAAATCAACAACAAATGACTGCCTCTCAAACACCAAGTCTACATTAATTGTATTCTTCATATAATTCATGATACTCTTTATAGCCTGCTAACGATTCCTTCCCCGATCATACATAAACCTGCTCACAACACCAACTGCTTGTGCAATGTATAGTCTAGTACAAACTATGACATACTTTAGACTATCAACTACACTAGCATATGGAACCGATCACATATCCTTTCTCTCATGACCATCTTTAGGATACTGATTTGAACTTAGTTGGAAGTGAGATGCAATGGGTAGACTCACAACCTTGCTCGAGTCACCAATCCCAAAATTTTTCAAGATCTTTTGAATGTAAGTTTCTTGTGAAAGTCAAACCTTCCCAGCTGCCTTGTTCCTCAGAATCTACATGCCAAAAATTTTGAGTGCTTCACCCAACTCCTTCATCTCAAACTATTTGGACAGTTGCTTCTTCATCTATTGATCTCATACTGACTGGCAAATGAAATCAACATGTCATCTACATACAATAGAAGGTAGAACTCATTATTGATCAATTTCTTAAAACATGCATAATGATTGTAGTAGCTCCTTGTGTACTCCTCTGTCCTCTCCCATCATGAACTGATCAAACTTCTTATACCACTGTCGTGGTGATTGGTTCAACCCATATAGACTTATCCAATTTGCAAATCAAGTTTTTTGAGGCTCCATATTTAGGTGGATATAACATATATATCTCTTCATGCAATTCCCATGTAAGAATTTAGTTTTCAAATCGAGCCGTTAATGAATCAAAATATCTTTGTCCGCCAAATAATGCTGTCTTCTTCAGGCCCCAAACATTTGTATGAACATACTCAAGAATATCACTTGTATTGCGACTAACAATACCAAAGGATACCGATGTCTTTTTGCCAAACACACAATGTTCATAGAAATCGATCTTGCAGGTGCTCGCCTCTTTGACCAATTCTTTCTTCACCAAAGTCATAAGTGAAGCCTCTCCAGCATGAGTTAGCCTCATATGCTAAAATGTAGTGACATCAGAAGAATCAACAGCAACAACAACCGTTCCAATCATTGTTCTACCCTGAAAATAATAAAAGTTGTAATGATGAACTCCCCTCAGAAAAACCAGCACCATGATATATATTCAAAATTACTGCTTCAATGACTACCTTGTAGCTATTGGTCTTTACAACCCCAATAAATAAACTCTTCTTGATATCTGGAACATGTCTCACATCAGTAAACTACCTCACAATACCATGATGTATTCTGATGAAGATGCTCTTTATATCAATAATACGACTAGCTTGATCATTTCCCATAGTCACTGCATCGCTATCAAGCTCCCTGTAGGTACCAAACCACTCTCTAGTGGGACAAATATAATAGGTAGCACCAACATTCAGAATCTAACATGAACCATCTGTATACAAATTATGTGAAATTACAGATAGTGATATATCATAATCTTCATCACACTTTTTCACACTAAAGTATGCCTTTGCCTCAGAAGAAACTTCATTTCCTTTCTCCTTCAGCTTCAAACAATCTTGTTTTCCAATGACTAGTCTCTAATTAGAAAGCACACTGATTATTCCCAAGACTGC